CCTCCCTTGCTTTCATTTAAAGTAAATAATTTTTTTTTAAATGAGGTGAATTTGCTCTGTAAACTTTCACCCAAATCACAATAAAATATAATAATAATAGTTTCCCAAAATTAAAGGTTCGCACAATACCTGTTCAGCTTCTAGATGAAAACACCATAAAATAAGATATTGGGCAGTTTCTTCACATACAAGATAGGGATGGTCAGACAAGAACCTCTGACTATCATCCCATCGGCTCAACATACCTGTTTTTAAAAAAGAAAAAGAAACAATGAAGGTCAAATATTTTATTTCTTCTTGTAAGAGAATAAATGATACTTCAGTATGATTCTCTTTAAAATTAATGCATATCACCAGAGCAGGAAAGTAAAGTAAAAAAGAAAATGAAGAGGGAGAACACTTTTCAAAGCAATGCCAGTGCAGTGGAAACCATCAAAGGTGCACAGAAGTTTCATGTCAGATACTAGTCAGGCTAACGTAGGGTGATCAGCAGTTCCCAGCCTGTCTGGGGCTTTTCTGGTTTAAAGCTGTCTCTGGGCAACACCCTTTGTTGTTGTTGTTGTTATGTGCCGTCGAGTCGGCCCCGACTCATAGCGACCCCTCCTTGGGTTTCCGAGGCAGTATCACTACGGAAGTAGGATTGCCCAACCTTCCTTCCGAGGAGTGGCTGGTGGGTTTGAACCGCCAGCCGTCTGGTTAGCAGGCAAGTGTCTTAGCCACTATGCTACCAGAGCTCCCCCCTTAGTACCAGGCAAACCAGGATACCTAGCATGCTAGACTGAAGACAGTTAAGGTGAATTCAAGAAACTCAGTATTATTTATTCAGAGAATAAATGTTTTTTCTATTTAAAAAGATGGCAAAGAAAACAAGATCACAAGAAATGACACAAACTTAGCCTTAATAAAAGATTCAGAAAAACCTCATTATCTCTACCTTACTAGAAAATACATCTAAGATAATATGGTAAAATGTCAGCAGCATGGGAACCAATCAGTGTTAGGATTATAAACATGCTTTAACTGTCTAGTCATAATGCTTGTATATACATAGGAAACACAACAAATATTAATGTTATAACAAAGAGTAGATTTTGTTTAGGGTTATCACTTCTATGACTGTTAAATTTATTTGAAATCTTTAAAAAATTAGTTAAGCATATTTGAAAATGACTGCTATTTTGTTTGAAGTTGGCAAGCTAATCCAAATACTACAATGTGTGCCTTCATATTCACCCAAATCAAAAAGAAATTTGATCAAAAAGTCAATACCAATCAAGCAATCATGAAACCAGCAAAAAGTGGAACTTTTAAATTTGTCCAGTCAGCTTTACACTGGAATAAATTCAGTATACAATGTTAGCTTTAGACTCTTTAGACTCATCCAAGGATGTCTCGGTGTTCTTGAATTATCAGTGATGGAAATTTTATAAGGAGTCTCAGTAGTTTAGCAGTAAACTTTTTCTCTAGAATTTAATATGCAAAAAGTCACAAACCAGAACACAAGAACAAAACTACGGACAAATGTTGGACTGAAAAATACACATTTAGCAACATATGGGAATTAAAATAAATGATCTTTTTTTTTCCCTCACTTAAAAAAAGGAAATAAAACATGTTAGCATTTTCTTATAAAGGGTTTTATGTGCTTTATAGAGTTATTTTCCCAACATTTTGGATATGGAACCAAACCAAACACCAAACTCAATGCCGACGAGTTGGATCCAACTCAATAGCGACCCCTCCTTGGGTTTCCGAGGCAGTATCACTACGGATATGGAATTTAGGTCATTTTAAATTCTGAGAAACAGAATGATTATGGAAGTTACTTAAAACTACTCCTCAAAGTATAGTTAAAGATGTTCTAATTAATGACTTCTGGGGCCACACCTAAAGAAAGCATAACTCTCATTTTTTATACCTGAGCTGATAAATAAATCCTGTGAAACAGTTTTGCCATAGCTTTCTCACCCTTCAGAAGAGGTATTTTCAATTCTATCTACCATCCACAGAGCACTGCTTCTGCTGTTTACTTCTCCATGGCATCATCTCACTGAGGCATCAAAATCCTATTCATTTTGGTTTCTTTTGCAGGAAGAACATGAAAGGGTTAGTGACTTTTGCAGGGCTTTGAGGGAGGGTGTTTGTTATTAAATGTAAAAGTTGTTAAACTACCTATTTAATACCAGAGACAAAATGAGCACATGACTGACAGGCAGCTGATCATACCTTTTATTTTTCTGAGAAATACGTTTCATCATTTTATTTCAAAAATGCACAGTGAATTATGATGAAATTGAGAAGTTAGGTTAAAGGTTGCCCATAGAGACCTTTGTGAGAAAAGTGTGGAATTTTATGAATAAAATACAACACTTAATGGTTTAGTGGAACAAAGTGTATTTGACACTACTGATGTTACTTTGGAATTTACAAACATGTAAATAAATGGAGAGTAACACAATCTAGCATGACAGCTCAGAAAACAAATTCTGGAGCTAAACTGCCTAGGTTCAAATACAGGCTTTATAACATATTAGCTGTGGGACCGTGGCAATACTCTTTATATCTGCACCTCCGTTTCCTTATCAGTAAAACAGGGCTAAAAAGAGTACCTAATTCACAAGGTTTTTTGAGAATTAAATGAGTTGATTCATACAAAGCCTTCAGAAAGAGTGCTGGACACAAAGGAAATATTCAATAAATGTTAGGTATCATTAGCATAACAGTGAACAGTTCACTCATTCAAGAAATATTTATTAAGCTCTTCCTTTGTTGTTGTTGTTGTTAGGTGCCGCCGAGTTGACTCCGACTCATACCGACACTATGTACAACAGAACAAAACACTGCCAGGTGTATCAGACAGTGTTTCACTGCTATTCATAAGTTTTTCACTGGCCAATTCTTTGAGAAGTGGATGACCCTTTCCTTCTTCTGAGTCTGTCTTAGTCTGGAAGCTCTGCTGAAACCTGTCTACCATGGGTGACCCTGCTGGTGTTTGAAACACCAGTAGAATAGCCTCTAGCCTCACAGCAACACGCAAGCCACCACAGTACGACAAACTGACAAATAAGTGGTGGTTTAAACTCATCCTTTAGTGAAGGACAATCCATTTGAACTAGCCAACCGATTTCCTGAAATGCTTGAAAAAACCTCATTTTGACAAAATAAAAATAAAAAATTAACAATGATATGCTATTCATCAGTTTTCTCTATCCTACCTGATCCCTAAAATAGTCCCCAAACACACATATCTGCGTTGATTTCTCTCATCCTTTTAAAATGATACATTTTAACATTTTAAGTTATAGTATTTGTTTTAATTTTTCTATTACCTAAAAAATCTTCCAACTAGGCTATGAATTCCTTGTAGAAAGATACATGGTCTTGTTTCCTGTACTACATATATATATATATATATATTCCAGATCTCCAGATATTTCTAATCATCTTCCATGGTACAGCTGTTTCTACTTACATGCCTGAAAACAAACCAAGCTCATTCACAACTAAACCCATCCTTCTCTCCCCATCTTCCAATGCTTCTCAGGCTCCCTGTAACCCAATCATGCATTCTAAAATTCCTTTGATATTTCCATTCTTCCCACATCAAACTGCTGCTTTTCGCTTGGGTGTGGCTCTATATTAAGGCTGGAGCCTGAAGTAGGTGGGCTGAGGCTCAGGGGCTACTTTTCACTTGTGGGTGACTCTATTTTAAGGCCATTGCCCAAGATAGGCAGGTGCCACAGAGTTAGGAACTAAGGGAAACAAATTTGTCTGTCAGTTTGTCATTCTGTAATGGCTTACATGTTGCTATGAGGCTGAAGGCTATGCCACCATGTTGCAAAATGCTAGCAGGGTTACTTATGGTGGGCAACTTTCAGCGGAGCTTCCGGGCTCAGACAGACTCAGAAGGAAGAGGCCACCCACTTCCCAAACAACTGGACAGTGGAAACCTTATGAACAGCAGTGACATACAGTCTGATATATTAACAGAAAACTTTATGAATAGCCCTGAAACATTGTCCGATATAATGCTGGAAGATGAGCCCATCAGGTCAGAAGGCACTCAAAATTTAACTGGGGAAAAGCTGACTCCTCACAGTAGAGACGACCTTAACAATATGGGCAGAGTAAAGCTTTCAGGACCTCCACTGGCTGATATGGCATGACTCAAAATGTGCAGAAACAGATGCAAACACTATTAATAAATAGAACATGGAAGGTATGAAATATGAAGTTAGGAAAACTGGAAGCTGTAAAAAATGAAATGGAATGCATAAGGTCAATATCCTAAAGTTGGGGACCAGGTTTGCTGGTCCAATAGAGCCTGGTGGAACCACTGAGACCATGGCCTCTAGCTGCCCTTCAGATCTGGAATTGATCCCACACCTGTGGTTTCCAGCCAAATAAAATACAGGCATATGAGTTGAACATTTACCTCAAGTAGATACACTTCTTGGAGAGAACAATCATGGGATAAAGAAGGGCTGCTTATGCACGGGGAGACAGCTCAGGTGGAAGAAGTGTATGGAGGGATGGACACTGGGAAGAAGTAACTATGGGGAGGAAGTGGGAGGGGAGCTGTTGCACTGTGGTAAACTGTGGTCAATGACATGAGACAAAGTATATGTGAACTGCTGTATGGAAAGTGAATTTGCTCTGTAAATCTTCACCCAAAACATACACACACACACACAAAAGATCAATATCCTAGGCATTTGTGAGCTGAAATGGACTGGTTTTGGCCTTTTTGAATCAGACAACCATATGATCTACTATGCTGGGAATGACAAATTGAAGAGGAATGGGGTGGCATTCACTGTCACAAAGACTGTTTCAAGATCTGTCCTGAAGTACAACACTGTCAGCGATAGGACAATATCCATACACCTACAAAGAAAACCAGTTATTACTACTATTATTCAAATTTACGCACCAACGACCAAAGCCAAAGATGAGGATATTGAAGCTTTCTACCAACTTTTGCAGTCTGAAATTTACCAAACATGCAATCAAGATCTGTTGATTATCAATGGTGACTGGAATCCAAAAGTTGGAAACAAAGAAGAGTTATGGGTACTTGGAAAATATGGTCTTGGAGATAGAAATAATGCTGGAGATTGCATAATAGAATTTTGCAAGACCTGTAACTTATTCATTGCAAATACCTTTTTCAACAACATAAGCGACGACTATATATGTGGACTTCACCAGATGGAATACACAGGAATCAGACTGACTACATCTG